CAGCCTCAGGCACTGGCATTTGGCAATGCCTACATTGGGAGGCTGCATAGAGGGCTTGTGGGATGAAATGTCCTCTGAGCAGCAGGACTGCACGCAGGATGTAGAGAAGACAGGCAGGTGCTTTACCACACATTTCTTTCCATTTTCCACCCCAAATCGGTACAAAAGTATGATTTATTATGAGGCAAAAATTATCCTTGGCTAAGAAGGAAAATTAGAAGTATTTCCCTAATAGGAAAAAAATACTTTAAGTAATAACAGCAAATTATTGAAAAAATTGCTACTAACATTTAGGGAGGGGTAGAGGAAGAACAAGAACAGGACTGAAATACCAGAGCATGAATGGGTTTTTATAACGCCCCATTTTTTCACACGAGCTCTGTCAGATCACATAAAATTGGACATTTAGTAGAAATTGGACTGAATTAAAAAAAAAAATTAAAGAATAAGGGAATAAGAACAGCTCCATTGACATAATGTGAAGTTCAAGAACGTGGTCAGCTGTGCTGCACTGAATCCATGTGAGAGCTCCAACTAAATCTGACCAGCAGCAATAGAAAGTCACTGCACATCCCAGCAAGAAAAACTGAGCTTCTCATTAAAGATAATAATGATACAACTGGATAAACAGAGTATGCCAGAACCAGATAAGGATGCCAGATAAGGAATGAGTTTGGGCAATAGCATGGCTGCCCTTCCTCTAACTGAGGAAGCTGAGCTGATGCTGGGTGCCTTAGGATTGCTGATCTCATGGGAAACAGCGAGAGGGAAGAAGTGGGAGAGGGGAACAATATTACTAAATCCTGGAAATGGAAAAGCATGGCACTAAGCAGAAGAGCTGTTGGTTTTTTTTTTTTTTTTTTTTTCCCTAGGATCACTGCTAGAGAAGTAAATTGTTCCTGTGTTTGAGGAGAAAGGGAAGAGGTAAGAAGAAAATCTGTATTGAGCAGCGCGTGTGCAGCTTTTGCTGGCCAAAAATAATGAGAGAAAAAAAAAATAAGTGAAGAGACTGAGTGGGTGTAAGAACTCAAAAGGAAAGAAAAATGAATAGAGTGGAAATAAAGGAACTGCTGCCATGGAAGAGCAAAGTATAGTCCAAATCACCGAGCAAAAAATGATATAGCTGCATTATGAGAGGCATTTATTCAGATAGGAACATTCCAAGGGCAACTGCTCATTTTGGACATCTGTGGAACAATTGTCATTACAAGCACAGACATCTCTCTGGTTTTCAGTTACTGGAGTGCTTTTGGGGAAGAGAAACCTCTTCTCTTTGGCAAAGAGCAAAATCATTTTCTCCTGATGCGTTTTGTTACAGAATCAATTCTATGACAATAAGAAAGCAAAAAAGTGGTAAAAATATGCTTAAAAAACCAAATAAATAAAAAACCATGAAGTCAAGATGTCTCAAGCAGAGCCTTGTTCAATGAGAGAACAAAACTGATCATAGCAGTGAAGGCAGACCAGGGAGGGGTTTAGCAGCTCGGCGCAGGAGGAATGTTTCCCCAGAGACCTCTGGATGTAGGACCTCTGCTTCATGGCACTCCCCTTTGGGTTTCAACTCCTAAGGAAGGTTTCCTACCTACTTATGGACTGTTTGTCAACCAACCAAAAGGGGAAAATTGGTATTTTTCTGCCTCTTTCAACTCCTGGATCTCACCAGTCTCTCCCAGTAGAGCCAGCTCCAAGCCTGCAGACTGGGAACTGCTGCCCTCAGGGAAACCTTTCAAAACCACAACATTGATGCAATCCATCCTCTGTATGCCGAGGAAAAAAAAAAAGAACAATGCTTCTAGTCACACATGAAGAATATGCTGAAAGACCTCGATCATCCCCCAACATACCAACGCAGGAAAGAAATAGAGCTCCTTCCTGTTGGCTTTGTTATCAGCCTACTGTGGATAAACTGAGGTCAGCCCTAAAAAGGGAACAGAGGTTATTTCTACCTGTTGCAGCCCTCCAGTTTGACACCGATAACTGGCAAACCAGCAGAGCACACAGATGCTGTTATCTGTGTACTTCAGGGCAGGGCTTTCAACCCTAATTGAAAAAGCCAACTGGGACAAAAAAAACACATGAGGAAGCCCACTCAGCAGCCTAATTAGACTCAAATAAGTCAACTGTTTACTTGAGAGAAAACAAATAGACAGCACATGCCCATGATATATACCTAACAGCTAGGTGAAACGATACATCTTGCACCTTTCAGATACTTCTCCAGTCACGTTACATTTACAATGCTACTGTGCATATCTGTAGATTAACAGCTTAATATAAATCTACTGATATAAACAAGTTGTACTTCAGTCCCCTGTTTGTAAATCAAGAATGACAAAGAAATGAAAGGATACACAATTGGTACCCCAGGAGCCACATATCAGAAAGAAGAGCCGAAACCAAATATTCCTCAGTCCTGCTCTGCCTGTTTATTCTCCCTTAAGGTAAACTCTTTTTCCTACATATTATCTCTGCAGACAGTCATGAAAAGTACTTTTTTATTACTCATGATGGAAGTGAAAAGAGTTTGTTTCTTTCTTTCCTTCCATAAAGCTTTTATTTTGCTGGAAAGCAGATTTAAGGAATGCCCCGTTGCAAGAGTTTAAGGGTTACTTTTAACTGGGACACAAAACCACAACTTCTGACATCATTTCATGGCGTGTTCAGGAAAGCTTTCAAGCGTGACATTGTATCATTAGGTATAATACAGCCATTCCAGAGGCACTGATTACTGCAATGAGAATTCGTCTTCTTTAACAGTATATGTGATAAGGAATGAATAAAAACCCAGGCCAGAAACATCACTGTAAAAAGGCAGGCTACGTACGAGAATGGAAAAAGCATCTGTAGGCATCTTTTGGGGAGCTGGAAAAGAAAAACCTGCAGCACTAAGTGGGATTTGGGGGATGCTGAGCATCCCTGGAAATGAAGATCTGTATTTTCCCCCATCCAGTCCCAATCCTTGGGGTTTAAGGTCCCTTTCAACTGTAACTACTGTATGACTCTATGACCCAAAAGCAAGTCCTCAGAGTAAACAAGACTTTGCAATGTTGAGCAAAGCAGAGTCTAGACAAGGCTTGAATTTTGGGGCTGGTATCTCAGGACCTCCTCCAAAGTGTAATAACTGTAAGGTATTCCTATCTATAAAAGGTATCACAGAGAAAATTAAGTCTCTTTATAAAAAGCTTCTTTAAATGGGTCCCTCTTTCTTAAGTAGACTCTTCTACCATCATGCACTTGCAAGTGTTAGTAAATGAGTGCTTCTGATGGATAGCTGTGCACACAGTCAAACTCCTCAAGGCCTCAAGTGCCCATTGAGCTGAAGATAAAAGAATTATTTTCATATTTGATCACATAAATGTCACTGGAGATATTTGCAACAGCCCACTCTAATCTTTCTGTAGGTAGACGGAGGCATATTCGACAATCAGTTTTCAAGATATACTCCAGTGAGGCCCTTATATGACCTCTCATTAGAAGTAAAATAATTTACGACCACTTCCACTCCCTGGCATTATATCACACTCCTCCCAGTACCGCAGACCTCACTTGATTTGTGACAGGAGGTACACAGCCCACAAGTTATTAACAGAAAAAGATAAAAGACTCCATCCCAACAGCACTTCAGTGCAATAATGATAATGAAATTTACTATCGTACCTGCCCAACAACAGCAGATGATTGCATCCTACTGGTAAACCAGAACTGTCTTTAACATCATCACAGCTGAATTGCTATCACAGCTGAGTGCCTACTGGACTCAGGTCTCATGACACAAAGGGAGATGCAATGCAGGAGCACAAAGCTTCTCTGCCCTTTGAAGTTCCTGTTTATGCTCCTCCTCCTGCACATGGTCTCCATGCGCTTTCTTAGCAACTTCACTGCTTTCCGAGATCAGAAAAGCAGATCCACCAAGTCCAAAACAAGGCTTCAATCTTAGATAGAAATTTCAGGCTTCTTATTTGCAGGAGCCCATGTTGCTATGAGCTAAATCTCAGTAGTAAGGCATCTATTTTTTTCCCTCTGCATTACATACATCATTATTTGGCTACAAAGTTGATCCGAAGATCAACTAGATCAAAGATCTGGGAAAAAAGTCACAAAATAGCAAACATTTTGGAACAGCTGCATATAAGCTTTGCTTCAGAGCCCTTTTCTTTTTGTGCAAATACCCAGCCACAGAAAGCCATTTGAAGTCTTTCACTTCTGGGCACAGACATTTTTGCAACCGACTGCAAAGCCACTTCTTTTCTGCAGGAGTACATCTCCAACACTTTATCATTTATTTGCCTGTCACTGTTCTTCGGTTCTGATGGTATGTTTCCTGCTTCTCTAACCTGCTTTTTTCCTGCTTCAACTCAACAACTTTTCTCCTTTGCTTGTGTCATCTGCCTATGTGGACTGAAGTGCAATTATCAGCTGTGGTGCTTTTGGGGAAACATCGACCCCACGGAGATGACAGATCCCTAAATGTTCCCAGCACGGCTACATTACCAAATCTGTCTGACCCCCACTGCCAGGGCTTGGAGAGCAGTCAATGAACTATACTGCTCAGCTGGTAGAGATTCAGCTTCTATATTCGTTATCAGGAGAAAAAAAAAATTATTTTCCCCTCATTTGTGCAACAAATTTTTGTTAATACTGTACATGTTTTTCATAATGTCTTAGCCCTCGTCCAAGCCTTAGCCAACGAGTCAGCCTGTAAAAGGTTATTACACTGGAAGCAGTAAGTACTGAATATAGTATAACTGCAGTGCACGCAAAGCATACGCCAATGTTAATTATTGATTAGGTCGCAGTTTGGTTACATTTTGGGTGACGACACCCAGGGGTTTAGATAACTGCATAAAACATTGCATTCTGTTCTACAGAGACCCAGAATAAACCATCCTTTATAAATTCATCTCTTAGAAATAAAGCACATTATTCAGTCATTTATCAGGATTTCAGTAAGACGAGTGATGGAAGTTATACAGAAGTATTCATTTTTAATGATGTCCTACCTTTGAAGAAACAGTCCTTGCTGTGGATAATGTAGATTTTCTTCCTCTGAAGACATGAGGCTCGATGTAACTGACAGTGATTTTCATAAAATTTGCCATCAGATCCACATACTGGCATGTAGCTGGACTTGCATTCTTCTACACACCTGCACTCAGGCTGGTTGGTGTCCCTGTTCACCACACACCTACTCCCTCGGCCGCAGTACTTCTTCTCACATGATGCATGCAGGCCATCCTGACCATAAAGAACTGGACAGAGAGAGAGAAAAAAAAATCAGTGTTAGCAATATTTACCTAACAGACCATCCTCGTCTGCTGCACAGCAGCACACAACCATTACAAGTGCAGAAGCTAAAAGGTTTCCAAGGCTAAAAGCAAACTCCCCTGAACAGCAGCACGATGGCAATCTGCACAACATCTCCACTTCCGTGCTCCCAGACCTCCAGCTCTGAGTCATCAAAACCTCAAGTATGTGCTGAAAGTGCTTCCTGAGAAGTGGCGGACATGGGGCCATTCATTCTTCCAGGCTTTTGCAAAATCAGATCCTAGAATAGGAACTAGTGAGAGTATTCCAGTGCCAAAAATATGGGCATGACTTGGACTCAAAAAGCCATTCTGAAAGCCTAGGCTCTGGCAGACTTACTGGATATAATGCTCTGAATGTTACTGTAACTGTTTGCTGTTTGATGCCATTAAAAGGCAAACTGAGCTGCCCCAGTGCTGCAACATTTTCTGCTTCTGAAGTCAGAAGGCTTGCAACAGAACATCATTATAATTCATACAGGACAGGATACTCCCAAACAAGCCACTACTCAGAGCAATAATTAGCATTATACTCAGCAAAGAGAGTTGCAGGGAATTAGATTACTCTATGCTAATTGGAGCACACAAAGCAACAAATTGTAAAGGGAAGCTGCAAAAGGCATGATTAAAGGAGGAATAAACATTTAGCAGTGCACAACCTGCTGCCTGCTCTGCACAGCCTCCCGACAGCAGCCCCCCTGTGCTGTGACTTGATCTGGACCAGGAGAGCAGGTCTGAAGCAAATCCCAGCTGTCCACATTAACCACACGTACGATTGGCTCTCAGTGAGTTTTTGGTGCGTCCCAACCTCTCACCCCAAAACCTCCATCACCCATAATGGCGATGTGAGGAGCATCAGCAATAGCTGCTTCAACTTACTGGTCCTATTTTTTTTTTTTAATTCTAAATTCCTTTCTAACAACCACACGGTCCCTGCTTGCCCAGCCACTTCAAGCCACATGAAACATCCCAGCATTGAGCCCACTTCTCATCTACAAGCAATAAAGCGTTAAAGCACGTTCATAAAGATGAGTAAAAGTTCCCACGAATCCCATTTGGTTTCGTCCCCGTTAAGTCTTTGTCTCTGAAAGGGGGGAAAAAATATCTGCTGCTGGAGGATTAACTATTTGACTCAATAACTCATTAAAATTCTTCCAACCTTGGCAAGCTAGGTAATATTGACTTTTCCTGACTCATAATAAACTAGAAGGTCAGAGCGTCTCTGAGCAGTGCAAAAAATACAGTCCCTGGAAAGCGTATCTAAATATTCTTTATTTATTTACTCATTGTCCCAGAGTTTCTGAAAAACATCCTCAAGAATACACACTTTGTGACCTCCAGGTGAGTTTGCTGCCAAGGGCACCAGCACTCAGCCCTGCTGCCTTCTGGCGCAGCACAGAGGCTCAGGTCAGCTCCTAGAGCATCCTAGAATTGCTGAACCACTAAGGCTGGAAAAGACCTCTGAGATCATCCAGTTCAACCATCCACCTACAACCAATGCTGCCCACTAAACCGCGTTCCTTTGTACCACAGAGTACTCCTCCCTTCCCCCTCCCGTTGGTGCAGGGACCCACACCATGCAGGCACCAGGCTCATCCATCAATACAGACCTCACCAAGACATGCTTTGGGCACAGTGACCACTGTGATACTTTAAACCAAGATTCCGGCATTACAGCCTATCTACATGTAAATCAGATACAACCACAGCACAGCCCCCTCTATGCTGATAGCTGCATTCTCCCTAGACCCAGCACCAGCTGAGCACCACAGTGCACCTCACCAGAGGTTATTGCCCCTCCTGCTGACTACATCCTGCCCCAATGGCCATCACATATAGCAGCAGCACAAAGTCCTCTTGAAGCCTCAAGTATCATGATTTTTAATATTAAACTTGGCATTGATGAAAACAAAAGCAATTCCTATTGCAAAGACAAGTTTTTTTTTTTCTTCTTTTCTTCTTTTTAAACAACACAGCAAAGATTTGTTTACCATCAGCTTATACAGCAAAGTACTCTGGCTTTTCTATCACCACCTGGTTACTATGGAGAAGCCTCATAAAGCCTGTGTGCTTTCATGTCTCCTTTTGTTCAGTTTGGTTTATTCTGTGCTCCCAGATGGAGAACTCCTGTTTGTACACTCAGAAAGGGAGGTGGGCTGGACAGCCCACAAACAGCGTGCAAAGCAAGAGCTGTGTGTGTACTCAGCAATCCTGACGCCCAAATCCACTGATAGTAGCACATGAGCAAGCAGAGTGTTAACATAGGATTTCTTTGCCAGAATCTGATAATGCTGCTCATAGTCCCTTAATTGAATTACTCCCTGAATATTCCTTGGAGGAGCTAAAGGTCCCCACACGCACACTCAGCCATGCAGACAGGCCCTGAGTTGAGGAAGAGTAAGAAACACAGGACACAAAGCAGTGGTGGAAAGCCAGACGATGGAAAGTTCCCAATTGTAAAAGCTCTGCTGTCTTTACCCAGGTAAGCAATCAACCCCCAGCAGCACCGCACACCAGGACCCAGTGTCAAACAGGCAGGGCAGCAGCAAACAGCCATCGTTAGCTCTGCTGTGTTATTAGAAGTGACTGCATTCCTCACTCTTACAAGGATTATTAAAAACAGGAAAGGTAATCAAGTGAAACCACCAAGTAAGTACGTGTGGTATTTATGAGCCTCACTGCACAATATAATTTATTTAATTTATTAGTTGCAAAGAAAGTCATACACTTAGGTTAAAAATTGGTCATCTTGCCAAACAACCCACTTTTCAATGCTAATTAAGTTTATCCAACATGGCTAGTGACTGAATTGCGGCATTACTTTCAAGTCAGTTTGCTGGAGAGAGGAAGAACATTTGTGTACATCCACAAATCCCCTTCACTTCCTCAAATCAGCTTCTGGCTGCCCACGAGAAATTTGGAATTCCACTCAAGAGCCAACAAAGCTGGGGTACAGGCAGTACAATAACCGAGTTTGGGAATGGTGGAAGGGTGCTAATGGCTGCCTTCATCTCAAGCAAGACTTCAGGAAATGAAGATGCTATTGCTCTGCTGGAGGGTACGCATCCTTTGGCTGCTCATTAATTTATAATGACTTAGGCAACAACTGCTATTACATGCCACTAAACACATTACAGATCAGACTTGAGCTATCAGATAATTCATTGTTTTCAACGTCTAAATCCAACCTTATTCCTTATATCAGCAAAGTTCAAGGAAAGGCTGGGCTGGTGACAAGCACCGACTTCAATTAAGACCAAACAGACAAACCCATCACACACAGAGCAAAGCCAAAAACCAAACAGCTCTATCATACTGCTGCTCTTGGAAGGTTGCTTACATGCTGCAGAAAGGTAAATTACTACATTTACATTTAAGGAGCCAGTTTATCTTCAAGGAGCAGCGCACTGCTGCAGGCAGCTGGACACCCCATTTCATCTGTGAAGGAAAGAGCTGAGGCTTTGCACCAGGACTGGAGCCAGAACTGGAAGCTTTAATTATGAGGAATCGGAGATGGGTGTAACTACAACTGGAAGCTCTCACTCCAACTGCTTCCAAGGCAGATACTGTAAAACAATAAAATAAAATCTTCTGTCATTGTAAAAACACAGCCTCCAAACTTCTTTTGGTGTTTCCAAGAAGGAACGCAGCGAGCTCACAGGTCAGCAGCCACTCCTCCCCCACCTCGACGCTGAGTTCCAACATTTTCCTCTGCTACATTAAAATATTCTGCTGTGGTCTGAAGCATTGCACCTGCAAGCACTTTTTACTGCTGTAAATCATACGCTGCTGGTACACTCAGATGTCCATTTGCCAACTGAATACGTAACCACGTGGGCTTGAACATTACACAGATCCACGCACACTAAGAGTGATCTGCCACAACTTCACTCTTCGCTGGCAACACGGCATCCAGTGCAGCAGCACAAGGCCTCAAAGCTTCCCTTCCCAGCACATCTTTAACAGTGCCTTGAAGTAACAAAAGTTCAGTTGTGTGACTATTGCACCTGGCTGCTGCCGTGAGCAAATGCCAGCACTGCACACATTGTTACGACTGCAATCAAATAAGAAAGGAAACAAAGCAAGAATTTCATCATTAACTGCTCTATGAGTTTCTCTGTTTTTCACTTCACTCCTGTTATGGAAATGGTGAAGCAGAGAAGTTGCAGTGAAACTCCTGGTGCAGGGAAAGGCAGCAGCACGGCCATTAGCTCTGTTACTTGCCCTTGGTGCTATAACTTATTTATTCTTACAAAGCAAAACCAGCAACTTGTCCTGGAGGAAAATACAGAAAATGAGATGTCTTCAAGTACGTGTTTTTCGAAGGATGCAAACTATCTGGTTTCCAGGCTCAGGAGATAACCGGAGGAAACATCTTAGAGCAGGAAGGGAAGGATGCATCAGCCTCTGCTGAGGAGCAAATCAGTCACACACTAATTCGGATGTTTTACAGGGAATGAAACACGGGATGACACACAAACCCTCCTGCAAACAAAAATTACCAAAACTTCTCATTATTTCAGGTTTCCTACTGAGAATTTTTGCAGAGTTTAAAAAAAAAAAAAGATAAGCACCTAAAGGAAAGAGAAATTGCATGCAGGAGTCCCATGGGCAGTAGTTACAGGGCTGGCACCAACACTGAGGTCTGTGCCTGCCATTTAATACCAAGGACACTGCAACTGCTCCACGTTCAGCAACGACATGCAGTTATTCTGCAAACAGCATGAAACACTCAAAATCATAGAAAAGCTTTCTCTATCAATGGTTAGATCTGAAAATAGGGATCAATGTCATCCCAGTGTAATCAGACTAATTTTTGCCCACTTTCAAATCCATTTGACCACGGTGACACCAAGAGCTTGATTAAACTGCATTTTTGGATGGCACTTTGGTTTATGAAGGCACTAACATGAAAAAATAGCCAGAAGGAATCAAAAGATCTAAAG